ACGGATGAGGAGAGACAGAGAGGAAGATCTTCTGTCCGTTTATTCATGCCCCAAGTGGCTGCAACGGATGGAGCTGAGCTAATCTGAAGCCAGGAACCAGGAGCCTTTTCCAGGTCTCTCACGCGGGTGTAGGATCCCAAGGCTTTGGGCCGTGCTCCGCTGCTTTTTGAGGCCACAGGCAGGGAGCTGGATGGGAAGTGGAGCAGCTGGGACATGAGCCAGTATCCAAATGGGATCCCTGTCCCTTGAAGGGGGAAGGTTATTCAAGCCATTGCTCTGGGCCCATTTTTAAGAAACAGATCTTCCATTCGCCAACCATTCCCCCAAATAACCACCATGATTCAAGGCCTGGGGCTTCTGCTGGGAACCAGAAAGTCCACCTAGATTACTCATACAAGCAGTCAGAACCCAACTCCTTGAGGCATCCCTGCTATCTCAAGGGGTCTGCTTCAGCAGGAGGCTGGATTCCAAAACTCAGGCTGCAATTCAATCCATGTACTCCAGTGAGAGATGTAAGGTTCTTAACAGGCTGTATGCTTGTCCAATAAGCCTTAGAGAGCACACACACAGAAATATACATACATGCAGAAATATGTGTACTGGTATATCAAATTCCATTGATACATATATACATAGAACACAAATGTCTACATCTATAGAAACACACATAGTTATATTAGCAAATGTACACATACACACAAACAGGCTAATGCCACTTGTTACTTCACGTCTCTTCCAGTTGATTTACATATACCTGCAGAAACCAGGAGGGGAAAAAAAATGCCCTTTGTATCTTCAGAGAGGAAAATAACACATTGATATTTCTTATAATATCTTTGTATCTGCTACACCAAAACATGAGGCATTAAGTGGTATTCTTTACATATGAGTCTCTTCCTGAACTATGTTGCTGAAACATTTATTCTTTAGAGTTTTTAGGGCCATTGGTGAATTTTGAACAGTAACAGTCTCTCTTCAGAATTAATGGAAAAAGAAATGTTAAAAGAGATAAAAGGAATTGTCATAGAAAGGGAGAACTGTCCTACATTTTCTGTGAATTATGCCACAATAACTCGTGGACTCCCACAAGAAGGAGAATATTAACATCTTTGCTGTGTGTGCACTTATTTTATCCCGTGGAGACCTCTCCCCCTAAATTATCTACATAATACTCAGAAGCAGCGCAGGACGCCAATTACTCCAGCCCTATTCATTTCATAAAGCCAATCGAGACTCTTCCTGTCATTTGTGCCAACCAGAAAAAATCATTATCACTTGAAGAATCCAAAGTCATTCTAATTTAGATACTTACAAAGCTCCATTCTAGATAAATTGTATGAAAATAGATTATAGGGGTAAGCTATGCAGAAGTTATTTCTATGTGGATCAATTTAGGTTTGTGGTTTGTTCAGATACAATGAAATAAAATCGCTAGCTTTGCTCATAAAATGTGATTCTTTACGTTCTGTGGCAGGTGATTCTTTAAAACTTAACCTTCGACATGTCCTTCAGCTTACCTTTCACAGCTACACTCTGGCTGGGTGCATGATCCATCCTATCAGGACCAGAGTGGGCCCTTAGAGAATTTCCACTATTGTTTCTAATTTTCTTAGAATGCATACCCCTCTCACAGGCTAGTTCCGGCTGGATTTTGTTTTCTGAAGTTAGGCCTCCTAACATTTGCCTTTATTAAATAATTCAGAAACTCTAGGCTCTCAATGAACATTTTCTTCCTTTCATCTTTTTCTTACTAACTCCAGTAAATAGCTCTTTGCTCAGTGTCTCCTTGTTAAAATAAGGCAGATCTCAATCATTTCCCTACTCCTTGTTTTAAACATATCCAAACATGTTCTTCTTAGTTTCTTGTTGGAATTCCTCCATCTATGTTTGATTACTACTGGGGAAATTTCTCCATATACTTAACTTTTTCAAGCATTAAAAATTCAATTATCGCCCGGCGCGGTGGCGCAAGTGGTTAAGGTCCTCGCCTAGCACGCCCGGGATCCCATATGGGCGCCGGTTCTAATCCCGGCAGCCCCGCTTCCCTTCCAGCTCCCTGCCTGTGGCCCGGGAAAGCAGTCGAGGACGGCCCAAGGCTTTGGGACCCTGCACCTGCGTGGGAGACCCGGAAGAGGCTCCTGGCTTCGGATCGGCATAGTATCGGCCCGTTGCGCTCACTTGGGGAGTGAATCATCGGATGGAAGATCTTCCTCTCTGTCTCTCCTCTCTGTATATCCGCCTTTCCAATGAGAAAATAATAAAAATAAATCTTTGAAAAAAAAAATTCAATTATCTGTGCAATCCCTTGGGTCTAACACAATCAAATCTGGTCTTGGAGCCAGCACTGTAGCATTGTACTGGTGTTCCATTTGGGCACTAGTTCCTACCCTGGCTGCTCCACCTCTGAGCTACAGCCCTGCTGATGTGCCTGGAAAGGCAGTAGATGATGATCCAGGTCCCTGGGCCTCTGTACCCATGTGGGAGACCTGTAAGAACTTCATGGGACCCTGGCTTTGGCCTTAGGCACTTGTGAGCAAAGAACCAGCAAATGAAAAGCCCCCCTCTTTCTCTCCCTCTCAAACTCTGCTTTTGAAATAAATAAAAATAAACCTTTTAAAAATCTGATCTTGACTTGTTGATATAATCTTTCCATGTCATCCCAGCACTGCCGGGCCTTTACTATATTTCTGCTCACCTACAGACTCATGTCCAGCTGATTGTACCTACAACCTGTATTTGTTGATTGTTCCTGTCATTCTAAGTCTACGTACGAGACAAATTTGGCTTCCTTCATGATAATATAAATTGGATTTTGTGTTGAGCAGAATAAACCATTTTAATTGAACAAAATAAAGTGGTACTCAGGGAAATACAGCTTCATTACTGCATACTGAGAGAAATTGATATTTAAATGTTGCTCAATTGAAATGTATTGATTTTTGTCATTCATTTTTATCCTTCTAACAAAACTTAACAACTATTAAAACATACCCACACCCACCAACACATACACATGCTCCCATATATGTTAAGGATCAATAGATCAATAGATGAATAATCAAATACTGATATCTCCTCCAACAAAGTCCTTTATAATGATTTTGATTCTAAACTTCAGCAAATGAACCTGTGGACTAGTGGTTAAGTGTCGCTCTAATGACCATTAAAAGTGCACTTATTATTTTTTTTAAGGAACTTGATAATCAGCTTCTAAATTGAACCACATGAGTAAGCTTCTCTCTACTTGAATAGTTTCCCGCAGGTAGTTCCAAAGCCTGTACTCACTGATGCCCAACTGAATCCAAGACAATCAAAATTTCACCAAATTCCAAGGGCACAGCTCACCACCCTCTTTATTCACTTTGCTTAGAAGTATCACTGAAAAGGTTTCTTATTCATTAAACTGAAATTTCATATTGCACAAAAATCAACACATTTAAGAAAGATTTTAACACTTTGTTGCAAGCATTCTGAAAAGAAATGGATGCAGTAAGGACTTGAAACAGAGTATCCCAAATCAGATACTAGGCTGTTACAACAATGTGCTGTAAAATGCTACTATTTTATACATTGACATTGGAAATACAGCTCACCTGCCTTCCTTCCTTTTGTAAAACAGACCAAGAAACAACTTTGAAAATAATCTGCTTGATGTGTTGCAACGACAAAATACTTCCAAGGTGTGTCTGTGTAAAAATGTCATCTATATCGGCTATTCTACTAATTGCTTTAGGTTAAATATATAGCAGCTGCATACAAGTGTTAGAAAGTTAAGGCAACTGTCTGCAATGAACAAATGTTTACACCATTACTAAGTGCAGTTTGTATCTGAAATATCAATGGCTCTCAGTGTATCAGAAAACGATCCCATGCCAAAGATCTACACTGAAGAACTGTATTTACAGAGGACATGAGCTAATCAAATACATCTAGCCTCGTCTGGAAAACTTAACGGTGTGCTATAACTTAATATTGCAATCACTGTGCCTAAAAGAACCCATAATTCTTTTTTTTCCTTGGATTATCCCGGACATGCACAACAGACCTCAGCAACCACTGCATCACAGGAGCAGGTGCAGGAAAGCCAGAGTCCATCCATGCCAAAGATCCTTCAAGGCGGGTCATTCCTCTGCCTCCGAGCTGCGTCTGCGGCTCTCACCACTGCGGACTGGAGCAGGCCACCTCCAAGAAAGCTTACCAGCTGTGCAGTTGCTCTCTTCCATTGATTTTGTCCATGGTGGAAGTTTCCAGGACACAAAATGACATAGGTCTCTCGGTGTTACTGCCAAAGGAGAATCTTTAAAATGCAAAATGTCTAAGTGAACAATTGACGACTTCTTTTCCTCATGAAATCTCCCATGAGGTTAAAGGATACTTCAGATCAGTAAATGTTAATACGCCTACGGTAACAATGGAGAGACTAAGAAACAAAAATTAAGGGACTCAAATGGTCAGAAGAAGTAAAAGCTATAAAATCTCTAATATTCCAGAGTCTTTTCATAAAAGGCTATTATAACCCTCATATGGAAGTATTTTGAAAGTTTATAGCTAGAGAATATTAAAAGCACATTTCATTAATAAATTTTCACATGCTGAACATCTTAGCAATATAATTTTTTAAATGGGAATTTAAAAATATTGAATACAATTATGTTAAAAGTTCAGGGACTTGGTTTTTATATATTTTAAGCTGTATTACATTATACAATTAACCTACATTAAGTTCCTAAAAATCTAGTCAGCATTATGTATAATTTAGTGTAGATATTTTCTGTTTAAATTTAGTTTAACATTTATGTAACCATGCAGTTTAGTTAACCAAACTAAGAAAGCAGAAAAAGCTGTTGTGGCCCATTGTAACCATCTCCCACCCACAGCATGCCAATTGCTGTGTATTTTTAAAGAATAAATCATTTGCTCACAGTGGTCTGTGAATATGTATGTGGCTATGGATGTGCAGGGAAAAGAAAGGGAGTGAATGCTTTGTGCTGTTTGGCTTCAATTCTTAATTATTCTCCAGAGTTTATTTTTCAGTTAAGAGCAGAAGAGACTGCGCCAAGAAGACTTGAAACCAAATTTTATTTTGCCCAGGCAAAGATCATCATACTGTCAACAGGACTTTGCAAGGTGCTGTGAAAGGCAGAGCCACCTCTCAGCTCCCTGAAGGGTTAGGTCCTTGACAACACTGGGATAAGAAGTACGCTGCTTTCTGAAGAGATCCTAGGACCTTCATCACAGGGTAAACCACTAGTAAAATTGTTCAATCAAATGGCAACTTATAAGATACGTCCACTAGAACCATGCTGGGATCATTGAAACAAAAATGAAAAAACAAAACAAAACAAATACACTGTGTTTTAAATTTCTCAAGAAAATACCAGAGGCAACAGTTTGATTAGTGATGGATCTGAATGTGCCGTCCAACAATGAGAAATAGTAATCCGGCTAGCAAAGAGAAGAAGATCCCAGCCGGCGCCAGGAAAAATGACCAGCCATACAGAACAGAAGGATGGAAATCCAAGCAATCTTGCATTTTCATGTTTTTGTAGCCTTCTATGTCGGCCACAGCCTGGACCCAGATCACGTACAGCAACACCACCATGGAAAACAGGATTCCTGAGGAAAACAAGCAGGAGACCGTTAGCCTTTTCCAGAACAGTCGACTCAACCAACCATTTGCCCAAGAAGCTACCTCTAAAAACATATTTGCAATTAGGTCAAGTGCAGTCTATCCAGCCCCTGGTTATTCAGGAGCATCGGGGAGGAGGCTACAGCTATAGGACATCAGCTGCAGCTGACAAGCATCTGTTGAGTATTCTCTAAGTGCCACAGACTATACCAGGTGTATGTGAACACAGCAAAGGCCCCAGACCTCTGTACAGTCTATATTCTAGCATTTCTTACAGTGTGTCTAATTGGGAATGAGTTCTGCAAGGTATTGCGTCACTTAACACACACAAAACCCAATGAAACAAGCACTCTTACTCTCTGGTTTTAAGCACATGGAGCCAGAGCTAGTGGTTTTCAAAGCTGATTTTTTGACTCTGCGTATATCACAGCTAACTAGTGCTGGAATTAAATATATACATGAGAGAGAGAGAAAGTCTTGGTGAACACCAGATAAAAGCAGCTCTGAGTTGACATAGAATTGCATACAGGATGCCTAACTGAAATATACATATATAATTATATATACATATATACATATATAATTATATGTTATATATAATATATATATTCAAGAAGGATCATGCATAATGGAAGCATTGTCTTAATGATAAAAGAGTCTGTTGTATAGAGAACCACAGATTGGGGATCAAGAGGTTTATGAAATAAAAATAAGAGAAAGGAAGCAGGGAGGGAAAGACGGGGGTAGAACGCTTAATGACTATCTAGAAGGCAGCATGACAATTGTTCATTCATTCCATGGACTAGCTCAAATCATTGCTGGAGTCATTAAAATAAGCATCATGCTATGCAATACTGGATCTTAGACATCCATCAGTGATACAACAGAAAAGATTCAGGAATCCCGAAACTTCCAAAACATGCCAAGAATCCATACTGGCATGTAAGTATGATTTTTCTGTGGCCAGAAGAGAGTAAAACGCCTTCACACTGATGTGCAGGTAGTTGTGGTGACTTACTAATGCAATGATAGGCTGCACCTACACCAACCATGTAGATCAAGAGCCTCAGATCTGCCCCAAAGCAAAACAGAATTGAGGGTGCATGCTAATTCTCTGAAAAGTCTATCCAAATATGCCAATGATCTATTATACCTGTTGAATGAGTGGGGTGAAGCAGTAGGGTCAAACACTTCCCTCTCTAATTGCCACAATGTCAGAAATGTAGGCAACCTCAGGTGAGTAGGAGCAGAAAGAGGCACTTTGGCAGAAGGGGGCACCTGTTAATCCAGCCATTGATCATGCTCTTCCCATTCGTTGTGCTCCTATAGTATTTTAAATACCCTCTCTGGATGGTCCATCAATTTCATGAGAATCTTGAGAAGTGAACACAGAAGAAGGGCTCATAAATATGTCCAAGGTGTCAGTACTGGAGTTTCAACTTTCTTTTAATCATGATTCTAGTGATGCTGCAAGGTAGAGTCAAGGTGGATGCTTCACTCACAACAAAGTACTTTATACTGTGATCTGCCAATGTAAATGCACCCATAATACAGCAACAAAACTACTGAACAACAACTCTGTCATAGAGAAATACTAATCCATAGCCCAGATGCCTTGCAGAGCCATGCCTCAGAATCTGACAATATGGCCAGGCCGTGCACTGTCGCACAACTTTAAGGTGTTCAATACATTTTCTTTAACCAATTACAAGGACAATGTTTTCTGTTAATGTAAAGATTTGGCCAAAGCATTTGCATAATAGCATTTGCTTTATGCAAAAAACCATGCAAAACTTTACATTATTGGTTGATGTGCTTTTTTTTTCTTCCTGTCATCATATGGATCTCTTGTGCCTTTAGATATTTTTGCTAAAAAATGGAAATTGCATTTGTGGAAAGACCAATAACTTCAAAGGAATTTCTAAAAAATTATGAAACCCACTGTTGAAATGAGTAGCAAAAGAAAGCACATTGAAAGTAATCATGAGGATCGGCTCTGGGGCTAAAGTCTCGCATTGCATGTGCCAGAATCCCATACGGGCACCACTATGTACCCTGGCTGCTGTTTGTGGCCTGAGAAATCATTATAGGGTGGTCCAAACCCTTGAGATCCTGCAGCTACATGGAAGACCCAGAAGTAGTTCCCGGCTCCTGGCTTTGGATCAGCTCAGCTCTAGCCATTGTGGCCACTTGGGGAGTGAACCAGCACATGGATCTTTCTCTCTGTTTCTCTTTTTCTATGTAAATCTGACTTTCCAACGAAAACAAATATCTATTTCTTTAAAAAAGAAAAGAAAAAGAAATTATCCATGCAAGTGATCCTTGGTGCTGGAGTTGTTGCATAATGAGCTCAGGTGCTACTTACAATGCCAGCATTCAATATGGATACCAGGTCAAGTCCTGGCTGCTCTTGTTTCAACTCTTGGGATCTCTGCACAAACACAGGAGGCACAGCTGAAGTTTCTGGCTCCTGGCTTCAGCCTGCCCCTGCCCAGGAAGTTGCAGCCATTTGGTGAGTCAACCAGCAAATGAAGATCTCCATCTCTCTCTACATCCCACTCCAACTCTGCCTTTCAAGTGCATAAAATAAAATTTTTATTGAAATCACAGACAACATAATCTTGAAAATTTCCCTATAAAAATATGGGAAAGTGACATATTTAAATATGACTAATCTTTAAAGAGGAACCACTTCCTATGGCAATGAATTCCAGTATTTCTATCACTAGGAACTTGTTCAGTATCTGAAGAAGTTATAGTCAACATCATTGCGTCAGATCAGTATATGACATATGCCTCATCTGTGGGCTCAGCCTGTGCCCCTGTAGCAGTTACATTGCCTTGGTTGTGTATTTGATTCTGGATGTAGGTGGATAAGGAGAGGGAAAGAGGGAGAGTGTAGAAGAAGTGAAATAACATGGGGGAACTATTTCAATTAAAGCATAAATTCTAGCTGACATGTTAACAGGAATTTATCATGGGCTTACTTGAATGGGGTATGTGGTGAGAGAAGGACTCAGAATGTTGCCGCACACATGCAGGTGCCCTGAACCCCAAAAATCACAGCATTAAAAGGAGTGGGGCTTGGGTGTTTCGCTGCCAGAAAATTGAGTTACAAAGTTATTCAGAGGAAAGCTGGGACAAGAGGTTTTCAAATGACTAACTAATCTATCAATAGATATTAGAGAATAAAGACATCCACATGTGTGTATTCAAATGCATATGCTTGTGTATGCTGGGACATATTTCCAAACTCATCTCCTAAGAAGATCTGGGAACGTCAGCACTCCCAAAAGCTTTGCCACATCAAGCAGCCAGATCTTGACTTCTAAATGAGAGGAGACAACACTTCTCACGGAAGTGCATAACTATACCTTGTGACACGAAGTACTCTAAGAGCCCAGAGCATCCTACACACAAGAAGGCAAAAACTTTTTAAAAGAATAACGAAGTGTTGAAGGGACCAGCCTGATGAAGCATCCCCATAACCCAAACAGACACAATTTGATCATCAAATAAATAATGGTAGCGTGACATCATCTCACTGAATAAAACAGGAACTCACAGTAATGCAAATAAGTGAATGAAAAAAAATAAGGAAATAAAAAAGATTTTTTTCTTAGAGAACAAGCTTGTAATTTTAGAGAAAATGGTAGAATTAGGAAATTTCTCTTTGGCAAGCATTTACATTGCAATTGAAGCAAGAAACAAAAGTGGATTCATAAACTAGTGGATGAAACATTGGATATTTACATAAGCTCGAAATCTCTTCCCATGAAATAGTCATCAATTACAGGGGGAAAGTGTAACTTTATACTAAAGAAACACAGCAAGTGCTGCTTTATTCAAATGATCAAAGTTAACCTCACCCATGCCGTGACAAATCCATGCCACACATCACCTGATGAAGTGCAGCGGAAAATACAGAGCCACGGACATGATGTTGCGGCCAAAAAATGCAGAGTCTGAACCCAATCATGGAAAACATCAAACAAACCAAATTCAAGACCATCCTACAAAATCACAGGTCTATACTTTTCAAGAGAATCAAGATTCTGAAGGTCAAACAAATTGTTCTGGTCTGATGGAGACCCAAGTGGCACTAAAATGAAGTACAAGGCACAGTTAAGGATGCCGTTGGGGTATACAGCATTATTGGTAGAGTTAGAAAAAAAGCAGAAGAAACTGTGGGTGAAAGCCGTGCAACTTCTATGTAAAATCCATGGTATCTGAAAGACGGACAGAAGGAATCACTGCACGGCAAAAGTGGAGTGGAAACCTGTGGCCATGTGTGTTGGGAAGACCACGTGTCTGGCTCAGCCAGGGCATACCCAACAGAGTCCCTGATCTGTCCCATCTGTAGTGAAATGTCATCGCTGGGGCAAAACTACTCCCAGAGGAAACTGCTCCTTGTCATCCCTGGATGTTTTTAGACTCTTGATAAAACAAATGATAACTGACCTCAGTCACAAATGAGCAATATTCAATCCATTTGTCCCAGTTATTACAGCTGGAATGTAAAACACGAACATTCAGGGAGCCCTGTCTTGCATTTTTGAATAGAACTGTATTTAAAGTTGGTTATCTATTTTGAAGGCACAGCTTTTTAAATTAATTTTTATAAACTTTATCAATTATATTTTATAACCTCATACACTTTATTTATGCTTTATATTTTATAATTGATAAAATTATAAATTCCCAAATAATTTTTTTATTGATTACATTGCATTATGTGACACAGCTTTACAGGCATTGGGATTCCCCCCACCCCTCCCAAACACCCCCCATGGTGGATTCCTCCACCTTGTTGCATCACCACAGTTCAAATTCAGTTGAGATTCTTTCATTGCAAGCATCTACCAAGTATAAAGTCCAGCGTCTTATTGTCCAGACAAGTTCACTGGTTTCCTGGGGAGACCATCTCTGGTCTGAAGGTAGAGCTGGCAGAGTATCATCCCGATCAATTAAAAGCCCCAACATTACA